TTATAAAATATTGGCATTTTCCAACATTTATTTTTCCTGTCTATGTTCCATTTAAGGCCAAATTTTCAAACCCAGCTGCCAAATTACACATATAATTACTGCATTTGCGCACAAAAATGTGATAATTGCTTACACAATTTCAGAGGCCAGCTTGAGGCTCCTTTCCAAATTTGTTTTACATGTTCAGTGCGGTGTATGTAGTTTTATATGAAATGGGGGAAGTCGAATTCATGGTTCGTCTGGGTGATGTATGAAAATGGGCACAAAACAAAGCCTTTCTATAATTGCCTGGGTCTTTCCTATTTCTCCCAATAGACCTTTATGAAAGTCTTACAGAGTAGCTCAAACTTCAACTGGATTGGAATCAGGGTAATGGAATGAGATGATACCTGGCGTAATACCCCTAAACAGTACAGGTGCTCATTTTCTTGGTGGTTGACATGACGCAATGAGGCAATTCTTCGGGCTATGAATGGCTACTACCTACCTGGGTAAGAAAAGATAAAGGTGATGGAAGGCCCTCAACTGTACAGCCAGCCAAGACGATACCAACCTTCCCAGGACAGAGCAGTGGCTGGGAATTTACCCTTTCAACTTTGCCCAACAGTTGATATTACCATTTGACAAATGTTCACCATGGACATGGCCCAAAATGGGTATTCCTAGTAGAAGGTTTAGTTCGAGAAAAAGGCAAAGAAACAAGATCTAGCCAGGCATACACATTAATAAGATAATACTTCTGCTTTTGCACAAGCAGGATAGAGACTTGTGGCCATATAAACTGATTCTCAGGCTGAAAACAAAAAAGTACTTTCCAAACTCAAAAACTATGAATCCAATCTGCAACTATGGCCAAATATCCAATGTTTGAACTGACCAGAAACGAGTAGGCCAGAAGCATATTAAATACTGAAGAATGCTCTCTTGCCAAAGAAACCCCCAGAAACGTCATTCTTCCCCAATGCCCACTTGGAATAATCATAACTGCACTTCCTGAGCACTTGATACATGTTAAACGGGCGCTTTAAGCATTTTGCATGTGTTTATCCCCCCTTTACATTCTTACTAGTCCTAAAAGGTAAGACCATTATTACCCTCCTTTTACACATGTGGAGACTGAAGCACAAAGAGTAAGACATTTATCCAATGCCATGCAAATGAAAAGCCACAAAGTCAGTATTAGGACCCAGACGTTTTGACTCTGAATCCTTTACTCTTAACCTCAGTAAAGTAGTGCTTCCTAAATGGACCAAAGGAAAATAGAATACGTGAAAAATAGTTTCCCAAAGAGAAGACCTTGGGGGGCCAGTAGGTGGGATCGTGGTTAAGACAGCAGACTCCCACATGACCGACTGTGGTTCAACTGCTGGACCCAGTGGCTTGAAAATCACACTGGGAGCATGTACATGCATTTCCAAAATCCCAAGAAGAGACTGAAGGAGAGTAGATTGCAGTGTGATTATATCCACTGGGGGTGATTTCTTACTTTCCTTCTCTCTGTCTCTCTCCAGTGAAAGCATGTACCTTAATGGAAACACACACACACACGCCCACCCAAAACCACCTTGGGCAGTCACTATGACTATCCAAAGAATAACCTTCTAGAATACAGTCCTCACCATTTCTGTCAATATCATCCTGGAAGAATAATATTGTCATGTACTAACAACCTTTGTATGCTGTTTCCCATTTGCTCTTTTCCAAATAAGAACTTTTTTATTGCAGTTTTCCTGTTATTTCATTTTATGTAAGTTGTGTTATAGGGGAATAGCATTACCAGAAGTCCCTGAACTATGAGGAGCTTTACCCAGATATGAAGACAATCCCACATCACTTGGAGTGAACACACCGTATCTTTAGGTTGTCTCTAGTGGGAAAACATAGCTATTTCAAAATGTATGGGAAGAAAGAGGGCTCATATGGGAACTGGGAAGCCAAAGGACATTCAGCAATAACTTATCCAATATCTACTTCTCCATTTCTAGAAATTTCTTCCTGGGCTTTGGGACTGTGAGTCTCAGTCCCACTTCCAGAAGTGCGTTGAGTTCTGATTAGCATGACAATCAGAATAACACCACCACATCCTAAAATCTATCTTGACATGGCAAATGGTTTAGGAATGATCAGTAATCCAGACTTAAACCAATCTGAACACAGTATCTATTCACCTTGATCGGTTCATCTTAGTCCAAATAATGCACAGAACGAGGAACAAGTTTAGGTAGGTACCAGAAATACCTGACCCCATTCCAGTGTGTGTGGGGGGGAGGGCTCCTTGTACTGTGAAATCCAATACTGCCTAGCTTGGGAGGTTCTGAGGCAGTCTGAACTGACTAGAGACACATAGGATTTGGCTGAGTTCAATTCCCAGCTCTTGCACTTACTAGCTGGATAAGGTGACTATAAAATTTATAGTCCAAATTGGAATATTTATGTTAAAAGAGAGTATTGTAAATAATATATCAAGGACAACAGGTATACACTGGAACAGTCCCAGAAAAATAGGCATGGATCTATAGTTTCTACAGTTGGGTTGTTCTGAACACATCTTTGAGTAGCAGTTCACCCATTTATAAAACAGAGCTAACAGTTTCTCTCAGGGTTGTCAGAGAATTCGAGAAGAAAAAGCACAGTGAGACACAGAATAGGTGCTCAAAGGGAAGGCCTCTCACTTTGTTACTCTAAGTGCTTCCATATTGATAATTCTTCACATATTCATATATTTATTGAGTGATTTAGAGTTTTTATTTCATTAAATAACACTTATTTAAATGAAATAAAAATAAGACTCTATTGAAAAAATAAACTTTAATCATCTATAAAAACCAGGCCCAGAGCCATGTGGCTGATGATGATGGAGGCTGGATCCCACATGGCCAACTGTGAGACCCGAGTCCTAGACCCAGTAGCTTGAAAAACTCTCTGGACACGTGTGCACGCATGCCCGGGATTCTGAAAGGAGAACGGAAGAGAAGGGATTGAAATGTGGTCATCTACCCTGAGCAGAGACGCGCTCTCACTTTCTCTGTCTCTCTGCTTTTCTCTAGCAAGCACATAAGCCCTAGGAGGGAAAACAATACTTGCACATGAGTGTGGTAGGTCCCCACTTACTAGGTAACTTTCAGGAGCGCAGAAAACTTCCCTTCTAATATACTTTCTTGGTGATGCCTAAAAATCCTCACCTATTGAAAACAGGTAGAGAAACAAGTGGCTTTGACCCTTGAACTGGGACAAATTCCTAAGGAAGAAGCAGCACCCAGGTTTTACTCTCCCCTTTCCAATATACTCGAACCTGACACTGTAGCCCTACGTCTCTCCAAGGACATGGCACTTCTCGTCACCCGCCCACCTGCCAGCCTGTGACGGGATCTGGTAAGGCCAAAATAATTCTTTCTCAGCCTTCCCGTTTGCTCTTCACATCGTAAATCTGAAATCACGTCATATCAACACATTCATTGCACGTGAGACTCTGAAGCATATAACAGTCAAGGTCCACTCAAAAGACAAAACTTATGCCACTCATTTAAACACGGAAACGGCGGGACCAGCAGTTGGCGTAATGGCTATGTCGCTGGACTCCCATGTAGCCTGCAGTTCGAGTCCCAGATCCGGTGGCTTAAACTCACGCCAGGCACGTGTGCATGTGAGCCCAAGCTCCCGAGAGAATGGAGGAGAAGGGATTGTGGCGTGGCCATCCCCCCTGGGGGGTGATTTCTCGCTTTCTGTCTCTAGGTCTCTCTCTCTCTGGTGAGTACTCGTGCCCTATAGCGAAAACCGCTCCAAAAAAAACCCAAAACACAGAAAATGTAACATCAAGATCTGTTAACAAGGCAAATAAAACATGGAGATAGTGACTTTAAGGAATCGGAATCGGCTACCCTTCTAACATGAGTTTGGAATTGTAAACGTTCGAATGATTTAAACCACCTGGAAAAGAGGGGGTCCACGAAGCTGAGGCCCAAAGGTCCGAGTGGCAGGCGCTGCCCAGTGGTCAGTGTCCTGGGCCGAGGCTGAGCGAGGGTCCCGGCCCGCCAGGAGGAAACCAGCCTTCCTGCAAGGGCCTGCAGCCACCCCCACCGACCAGCGACCACCGAGTCTGGGAGGACGCAGCGCGACGCCTCCCGAGTGCCGGCCAAACCACGAACCGGGGACACAGCGGCCGCTCGGGAGGCTCTGCCAGCGAAGGCCCTTGCTGGGGTGACAGCTCAGGAACAGGAAGCCGGCCCGGACAGGAAGCGGCCCGGCCCACTCGGCCTCGCAGGCGCAGGCGCGCGCCGGTGCCCCCTGTTGGCAGAGTCGAGCTGAGCTCCTCCCGCGGAACCGAACCGTGGGCCAGGCCTAGCAGCACCTCGCAGAGGACAGCTTTAGAGCGTGGGGAAATACCTGTTTTGAGTTTTCTTTTTTGTGTGTGTGTGAGATTTTTGCCTTAGGGCGCATGCACTCGCCGGAGAGACAGAGAGACAGAAAGGGGGGATGGCCACGCCGCAATCCCTTCTCCTCCATTCTCTCGGGATCTCGGGCACTCGCACAAACGTTCCGGCGTGAGTTTAAGCCACCGGGTCCAGGACTCAAACCGCAGTCCACTACGTGGGAGTCCAGCGACGTAACCACTACGCCATCTGCTGGTTCCTAGAAATAATACGTTAATCCATAGCACAAAGCAGTACTTTTTTTTTGGGGGGGGGGGTTTGCTAAAGGGCATATGCGGTTGCCAGAAAGACAGACAAAAAGCGAGAAATCACCCCCCCCAGGGGGAGCAGTACCTTTTTTCATTGCCAGAGGGTGCATGTGCTTACCAGGGAGAGAGAAAGCACCTAGCGTGGGGCATGGTCACACCACCATCCCTTCTCCATCCTGTGGGAATCTGGACAATTCACATGCACCTGTTTTTCAAGCCACCAGAGCCAGGATTCAAACACATGCACCTGGAGTCAGCCACGTGAAATCCAGCTCGCTTAACTGCCAGGCTCCAGGCTGGCCCGAGGGCAGTACATTTGTTTTATATATAGGAGGAGCCCATAGTCTGGCTATCAGAGAACGTGAAGACGGCCCAGTTCCTGCAAGATGCCCCCCATGCTTCCTGTACCACCACCAACAGACACGTTCTGCAAACCGGAGGACCATCAAGGGTAGGTGCTGTCATGATCACGTCTTCTGGGAGACAGGTGTGAACAGGCAATCACTAACCGTTTGGGTATTGCCAGTTGCCCTGCGTACATCGTCGCAGCCGTATTAGTGTGTAACTGAGACCTGGCAGAGACATGGGAGATTTACGCTCCTACAGAGTCCTGAGTACGCTTGTTCCTCAAGAAAGAGCTTAAAGCACTGGGATTCTTTTCTCTGGAGACATTTAAGGAGCCATCATTTGAATGATTCTATTTTCTCAGAGTGCTGAAGGAGAAAATATTGATTAAGGAATATTCTGAAAGTTACCCATTGTATAGAAAGTTAATAAAAAGGCGTATTGTGGTCATGGTAGAATTTTCAGAGGTAATAATCATGGCTTCATTGTGCCTACCTGTTCGGCCATTTTTCTTTTGTATAAAATGTCTATTCATTATATTGTCCATGTCTTTGTTAAATGAGTTTGGACAGATATAACAAGATAAGAAAGTCTATAACCTTATACCAATGTTTGACAGCTCTAACAGGCTGTATTCTGGTATTTCTGGGGTCTTTCCTGGAGCAGTTAAACGCAGAAGTCAGCCACAAAACAACATTCAGAAATGTTCTTTAATTGCCAGACTAGAAAGTCAGCTTAGACCACGCTTTAACTCCAATTTGCCTAAATAAGATCTAAAGGATATTTATGACTTGAATATGGTTTGCTCTGAGAAAAGTCTTTAAAACACATGGGGATGGGGGACCAGCAGTAGGCGTAATAGCTATGTCTCTGGACTCCCATGCAGCCGACCATGGTTCAAATCCCAGACCCAGTGGCTTAAACTCACACCGGGGCAATGTGCATACAGGCCCAAGATCCCAAGAGGAGAATGGAGAAGAGATTGCAGCATGGCCATCCCCCCGGGGGTGATTTCTCGCTTTCTCTCTGTCTCTCTCTCTGTCTCTCTGGTGAGCGCATACATTCTATAGTAAACACCTCTCAAAAAAAAAAAAAAGACACATGGGGATGGGGCAGAGGAGAAAGGAAAAACTAACCATCATCTTGGGCTTTCAAAACCCTGGAAGTGATATAGTGAGACAAAAAGGGGCCAGCAGGTGACATGAAAGTTAAGATGCTGAATCCCACATGGCCAACTATGTGGTTAGAATCCTGGATCGAGCGGCTTGAAAATCGCACTGGGCACACATGCATGCATGCCCAAGATCCCAAGAGCAGAGTGGAAGAGCAGAGATGTCAGTGTGGCCTTGTCCCCTGGGGAGTGATTTGTCATTTTCCTTCACTTTCTCCCTCTCTGTCTCTCTGGAGCATGCACACCCTGTGACAAAAAAGAAAAAAAATAGACAATGCCCATCCCATTCTGTGATTCGCCTGCTTCAGCTACACAAAGAATTCGTCTGTTACTGGCATCTAATTGGAACCTTCTACCCAAATGCAGATCCTTACACAGGTGGCTTAGACTGACAATCTGCCCTTCTTCAAATTTTACACCATCAATCAAAAATAACAATGACCGCCATGACACTTTGTACCCAGTCATAAACCAAAACAACAGGCTCATCGTATTGTCGGTTGTACATAACAAATCATCCTCAAATATTTAGCAGCTTAACAATAAACAGGTACGATCTCCATTTCTCCAAGTCAGAAACCTAGGAGTGGCCTAGATGGATGGCTTCCGTAAAGATTTCCTTACAATTTAACAAAATGCTCTTCTGGAGTTAGTGAGACCCAAAAAAGGCTTAGAGCTAGCGGAAGACTGCCTGATGTCAAATAAAGGACCGGTGTAAGTGGGAAGATAGGAAAGAGGGGAGATAGATGGGAAGGCTAGGACGCAGAGACTGGCATCCAAGGAGCGATCACACAGAGACACCTGAACTGGAGCGGCGCCCACAGGGCTGCTCTCGTCTCGCACCTTTGCTGTGTCCTGTGTTGGACTCTGGGAGAGTCCTTCAAGTCAGAATGCTGGAGAAGTCACTGAAAATTATGCCTAGGGGAGCCAGATGGTGGCGCAGTGGTGATACGGCTGCATCCACATGGGAAGGTCCTAGGTGTGCATCCTGGAGCCTCCCTTACCAATCAGGTGAATGCGCACTTGCCAGTGACACCCAGGCTAGCCACAGCTGGGGTTGGTCCTGATGCCACCGTGGGGGTACTCTTCTCTGTCTGTTTCTCCCTGTCTTTCTGTCTCTGTCATGCAAAAAACTAAATAAGCAAACTGTAAAAAGAAACAGAAAATTATGCCAAGAGAAAGCAAGAAGACTGGGCAGGACAAAATGGCAGCCTCTCCTGGTGTTTTTGCTTTTTCTTACAAACTTACTCACGTCTTACACTTCTTTTATGTCTTCTTTGTCTTTCTCCCTCCACCTATCCCCACCCGCACCACAGAGTAGAAATGACAGAGTAAGTATTTGGAGCTTACCTACCTCTTATCCCTCAGTTGTGTTCATAGCTTGTTCTTTAAACCAGAACTGTTCTGCAACGTATTACTAATTGTTTGGGGGTTTGAGTCCTCTATTTGAAGTGTGCCACATGTCCTGTCAAAATAACTTCTCAGAGCTGTGTAACGACTGTGGGTGGCCTGTGATCACCTTGTCAGAGTGTCTGTTACACCCAGAGCTGGTTGCCAAGTCCCACACTGCTTACAACTTATGTTCCATGTACCATCTCCACCCTCGTCTCTTTTTTTCTGGCAGTTGCTGGGCCAAACAGCAATTTGCAGTTATGTATGCAGCTTAAACCCTATTGTCAATATCCTTATCCTCAATACACACCCATTCCAGTGGTGTGAGCTGAGCTTCCGGGGAGGGAGCAGGGCTGAGGTTAACAGAAGCAAGGCTTCCCGGGGTCTTCAGCCAAAGCACACATTGTCTAGAGCTGCTTTGTCTCCTTCTGGGCTCTCTTTGGGGGATTTTCATTTGGAATTAAAAACGGATCACAGTTTGCTGTTTGTTTGCTATTGTCAGGTCAGACGCAGTGTTCTAGTACTCGGGGACAGGGTAGTATGCTGTGTGCTTAGAATTTTCTTGGCAGTTTAATAGGGATGATGGAGTTCATCTGCGTTTGGAAACCACCTTTCCTCCTAGACTCTCAAAAGCCTCCAAAAACAAAACTTAATCTTCCCAGCAAATGGGAGGAAGTCAGGTATGTCACGGTGCCCCTGGTTCCCTCAAGCCCACTTCAAAGGGTACAGAGAACAAGGGAAGGGAGATGAAGGTTGACACCTTCTTAAAGGACCACAGAGGGAGTCTGTGTGCTACTTACAGAAAAAGAAATCCCCTCTGGGTAGACACATTTCAAGAAGACTCTCTTTCCTCTAGACCGACTAAGTCCCATGCCAGGGCCCATGGTTTAACAAGTAGAATATGACTCACCCCTTAACCAGGTCTTCTAGCCACGGCACAGGTGTACATGTGGGCTCTGAATTTTCACATCCAGGTTTTTGTGCTTAGGGTCAGAATTTTGTCAGAGACTGGCTATTTTCCTCATTACATTATTGCCCGGTTAAAGAGACCACCAGTACCTTTAAAAAAAAGAAAGAATTATTTTATTTTTATTATTATTTAATTTACTAGTGGGCATATCTACACACCAGAGAGAGACAAAGTGAGTGAAGGAAAGTGAGAAAGCAAGCCACCAGGTCCAGAATTCAAACTGCAGTAGGCCATGTGGGAGTCCAGCACCTTAACCACCACACCATCTGCTAGTCCTCCACCAATACTTTAACATCTAAGTCAAAAATTACAATTTAGAGGCCAGCCAGTGTGTGATGGTTAAGGCTGCTGGATCCCAAATGGCCAACTTCACCGTTTGAGTCCTGGACCCAGTGACTTGAAAAATATCCTGGGCATGTGTACATGCATGCCAAAAATCTCAAGAGGAGAATGGAGGAGAAGGGATTACAGTGTGGCCATCCCCCAAACCTCCTAGAGGCTGATTTCTCACTTTCCTTCCTCTCTAGCAAGTACATGCACCCTATGGCAAAACTAAAAAAAGAACACAGTTCAGAGGCCTTTAACAGTCTGCAAAATCATTTCACTTAAGAAATATTTATTAAGCACTTATTGTGTCCAAAGCACCAGCCCCCTCCAGGAGAGTAAAGCCCTTTGGGAAGACAAAAAAAAATTGTAGAATATAAGCGTAGTTATGTTAGTCAGCTTCTGATGTGGTACCCAGTGAGCCTCACCTACTGGTATTAACAGTATTGTCGATTCCTCCCTTGAGTGTGGACCAAGCTTAGTGACTAATGAATTCTAATGAATAGACTGGAGCCAAAGTAATGAGCTATCCCTCCCGTGGTAAGGTTACAAAAGACCGTGGCTTCCATCTTGATAGTACTCTCTCTCTTCCTAGTTCTCTGGCCTTCCCACTCACTTCCCATTCCGATGCATCAAGTTGCTACATTATAAGAGACTCCATGGAGAGGTCCAGGTAGTAAAGAACTGAGAACCAAAACCAGCAAGTGGCTTATGAGAAACTGAGACCTCATCCCAACAAGTAGCAAGGAGTGAAATTCTGCCAACATCTGACCCCATCAAGCCTTGATATGACTCCCCCTTGTGAGAGACCCTGTACCAGAGGACCCAGCTAAGCCACACCCAGATTTCTTATCCACAGAAACTTGTATATCAAGTCACTAAATTTTGGGGTCATTCGTATGAAGTTGCAATCCCAAAGTTGTCATTAAAATATAGGCCAGGACTGTCATCAGCTCAAGGCTCCACTGCCTTGGGTAGAGAAGGTTCCACTCTAGGTTCACTCATGGGTTATTGGCAAAATTTAATTTTCAAAGACTGTTGAGTTGAGGATATTAGTTTCTTGCTATGGGAGAAGCAAGAAACTAATTTATCATCAATCTCTCTACAGGATCATCTAGAACACGGCAGCTGACTTCCATCAGAGTAAGCAAGTGAAACAGCAAGATAGAAGCCAGGGACTTTTTGTGATGTAATCTCAGAAGAAGCACCACATCACTTTTGCCATTTTCCGTAGATTAGAAGCAAGTAATGAGGTCCAGCCCACCCTCAGGGACAAGAGATTACACAAAGACACGACTACCAAGAGGCTGGGATCTTTGAAGGACGTCAGCAAGCTGCCCCCACATCTTCACTATCAGTCCCCCATCCATCCTTCTCCAATCCCTCACCTGGCCTTAGAGGCTCTCTCTGCCCTTCCTTTTCTTTATTCACCATATTTATTTGTACACAAAAGTTTGTAACTTATGCCTAAGCTCTAGCAAATCTTCCTCATGAGACTTCCTACTTCCTTTCCATTTTCTCAGCTGGGACCAGAAAAGAGATTAATATTTCTAATCACATTATATAATATCCTTTTCCTGTTCAAAAATGCCACTGCCTCTCAAATACCTCTTTTATAATTTGAGATGTTTATCATTCTAATCCAAGGCACCTTTCCAATAAAGCATATCGTCCTACTCCCTTCCAGTCAAATAGGTATTATTGTCCCTGAATCACGGCTAGTCTATGCCTTTCCATGGCTTTGCCCACGCCATTCTCCCCATCTAGGATAGCCTCCCTTTAATTTCCACCTTTCAGGATTCTCCCCAAATACCATGATTCTGCACAAGTTCTGTCTCCTTTATGAAACTTACAAATGGATGATAGAGTGTGCTGAACATAGCTGGTCAAGGAATCTGTATGACAGAATGGTTTGGTCACCCTGGACTCAAACGGCCTCTTTCTTCTGCCAATTCTTGAACTATTCCTTATTCACTGAACCTCTGATGTGACACTTAGCATAGACTTCAGTTAGGATGAAACCTCAGTTTAAAAACTAGGTTATCAATACATGCATATTGATGAAAGGTGTAAAACAAGTCAAGATTAGAACTCCAAGTCTAATTTAAGGGGAGTAACATCTTTGTCAAACCTGACCATAGTTATGTTCTAGTATGTTCTAGAGAGGACCTATCAACATTCTCAGGATTCCATTTCTTACTACCTTGCCTTCAGTGACTCATCATTATTATCAAGACAAAGCTATTGAAATTTACATTCAGAAGCATGGAATTGTTGAGGTTCTCAACTATTTCCTAGCTGAATGCATAATGTAAAGAAGAGTGCTCTTCTTGAAGTTTAAGGGGGTACAGGAGATTCTAACACCATTATTATTCTTTGACATTTAAGAGAAGGACAGAAAAGTGACCTGAAAGACCAGCCATGGTGATTAAGGCGCTGGATTCCCACATGGCCGACCACAGTTCCAGGAAGCATGGAAATCATGCCAGACACATGTGTTTGGGTGCCAAAAATCCTGAGAGGAGAATGGAGGAGAAAGGATTACAGCGTGGCCATGCCCCTGGGGAGAAACTTCTCACTTTCCCTCTCTCTCTCTCTCTCTCTCTCTCTCTCTCTCTCTCTGGAGACACATGCCTAATGGCAAAACTCTAAACAAACAAACAAAGATAGCCATGAATAGAGATAGATATGAGGATGGAAAGTTGTGGCCCACAGTAAGAGTACTGATGGCCGGAATGGTCTCTGTGAGTAGGTAGGTTGATGAGAGAGAGATACTACTTGAGGGGTAGTCTATGAATAAAATAAGAGTTCAAGGGAAGCAAATGTTTGATCAATTGAATTGGTAATTAGGGAAATATACGAAGACTCAAATTTCATTCCCATACTAACAGACAAAAACTAATAATTACTGATCACCTACTAAGCGCCTTAGACTATGTTACCCCATCTAGTCATCAAGGCGATCCATTTACAGTAAAAAAGAAAATAAAGATCTAAAGAAGTTAAGTCAGTTCACCATTAGTTGGTGAGACCAAGATTCCAAGCCTACCATGGCTGATTCTGAATTGCACGCAATCTGTCCTCTGGGTGTTACAGCTGGGAGACATGGCCTCACTCGTGTTTAGGAGGGCTAATACTATCTCACATGGTTATCACTGGGTGGAAAGCAGTGTATGTTGTCCTCCCTGAAATGATTCCATGATCTTTTAGCAGCTATGCCAAACCGATCTATGCCTGTAGGAAAATCACCCTTTTCTACATTTCCAAACAAAATGAAGACTAACCAAGCCATCAAAACAAAATAATATGACAAGAGAGATGGATGGGAGAATTTGATGGAACCATTTTATTCCACACCAGGTGTTTTGATGTCATATCCTTCCCAAGTCTTGAGGAAAGGCTTCGAATGTTCTTTTTTTCAAACACAGTTTGTCTTGTGACCACTAAACAGTTCTGGAGAAATATCAACATACTACACTTTAAAAAAAAAAAAGGTATTTCCTGGAAATTAGAAAAAACATAGCTTCATTTCAAAATTCCCAAATCTTGCCCCCAAAAGTCTCATGGTAATTGCTTGATTGATACTGTTTCCTAGGCTCTCTAAAATAATCCATTCCAAAAGTGCCAAATGACAGCGTCTAATTCTTATAATATGTTGACATTATTAACCAAGTTCACCTCTGACAAAGCCAAGCATATGGAGGAGTGAGGAGAATGCTGAAACTGGATCAGGTCTGAGAAGCATGATTTAGGAAACCATTCATGTAGCCTGTGGGCAGAAGGGGGCAGCAGAGAGCTGTAGGAGATGTGTGTTACTCGGGCAACTTCCCAGAGGGCTGGTGGATCTGGTCAACCTGTGGACATTGGCAGAAAGACCTAGACCCTATGTTGTGCCAGTAACCAAGCTGAAGAGTGAGCCTTGCTGAGATTCCTAGTGGAATCCAGAAACAGAATCCTTCATATTCCACCCCGTGACCAGAGATCTTATTAAACCCGCCTCTGATCATGCCATTCCCCTCGCTCATAGTACGCTTAAAATGGCTCCCATTGATTAAAACACCGGTTTCCAAGTTTTAGTGTTTTATCAGCTGCACTTGGAGGACTGAATAAAACACTGGTCCCTGGGCTCACCCCCCAATTTCTGATGGGTTGTATCTGGGGCAGTCTAAAAAATTTACATTTCTGATGTATTCCAAGTAATGCTAAGGCTGCCAGTCCCTGCTGGCCCAGATACCTCCGCTGGTGAGCCGCTGGCTTAGGATACACTTGATCTGCCCACCTCTGTCCTCTCTAGCTTCTCTGAACTCCACACCCTCACACACTGCTCCACCTGGAACTTCCCTCAGCTCCCCAAGACAGGCAAGACTTCCCACACCACCCGGTTTGTTCACAGGTGCCCTCTCTGCAGATACATGCATCCTCCTCTTCACCTGTCTAACACTCACTTACCTCAAGTTCGAAGCCTCCCTCCTAAGAACACTCATTATATCCTATAGTTCACACCCCACACGGTGTTGTAAACAACGATTGTGTGTTTGGGTCTTGATTAGCCTGTAGGCCTTCTGAGCAAAGGCTCACAAAGATACATAACATTAGAAATTCATGGTCACTGTCTCATCTGGGTTTGTGACTCTGCACAATAGCCACGCTACATTTGTCTGATCACCTCCCTCTTCAGCTCTCAGCAACTATTTCAACAATCTTCACTTTCGTCAGATCTCTAACCTTCCCGCCTCCTCTATCACACTCAACAGATGGCCTTGCCTACTCTTTCACAGAGAAAATAGAAGCCACCAGACAGAAACCTCTCAGTTTCCCACCACCAAACCTACAAGCCCACCAGCATCTGCACCCAGCGCGTCTCCCTGACCTCTTGTCACAATGGAAGAGCTGCCTGTACTCTCTAAGGCGTCTACAGCCAACCCACCCCATGCAATGGTTTCCCCACCCGCTTCCTCAAATACCCATCTAGAAACATGCCATCTACTTATCTTCTTCCTTTCCACTAATTTCTCCACCATCCTAAAGACATGCCTAACTCTGTCTCCTATAGACAACCATCCCCCTTGGGCCCTGTGTCATTGACACTGTCCAGTTCTTTTTGTGTGCTCTTGTCCAGCCAAATATGTCTAGTTTCGTGGTCCCTATTTCCTCCTCTCCTGTTTACTTCACAAGCCACTTCTCCTTAAGAACCGCTCCCATTAGGATAACCGAGCATCTTTCTATAGCTAAATACAGTGGGCCATTTTCAGTTTCCATCATGCTTGACCAGGTTAACTCCCTCCTCCATTCAGAAGTTCTGTCTTCCTTTCCCTTCTGTGTCCTCCCAGGCTGGTCTTTCACCTCGCTAGCCATTTTTCACTTAAGGCTGGTCCACTTCGATCCAACTTTGTAAATGCTGGAGTTTTGTGGGACTCAGCCAAGACCATTTTGTCTAAAGTCTGACTAAATAACTTCATCAATCCCAGCTTGTTCAGGTTCTATATCCACTCATGTTACTAGAGAGGTATCCAGCCCTCTGCTGTTTAGATCTACTTAACCAACTGCCCACTTTATATACTTTTTGAGGCCCCTCCCACAGGTCTCTCACACCCAACCAAACATATGGTTTCCCTCCTCATTCTGCTCTACCTAGGTGGTCCTTGTTGAAGAAAATGACTCCAGAGGGCCCATCCTTGATACCTCTGTCTCCTACTCTGTATCTCACTAAGTCCACTATTCTTCAATTCTCCAGCCTCTTTCCATATCTTCCACTATAATATTCCAACACACATATTCTGTCTCGCCCAGATTACAGCGACAACCACTGGTCTCGTTATAGCATCTAGCCCACTCTCTTTGCTAGAGAGATCTTCCTAAGAATGGCCACTTTCTTGCTTAAACCCCTCAATGGCTATCCATTTCTGGGATAAAGTTCAGTCTTGTCTTCTCTCCTCAGCCCTCAGCCTTCTTTCATCTCCTCCGCAGAGCCAACCCTCTATCCAGCGAAGGATCTTTATGCATGCTGTTCTCTCTCCTCGGAATGTTTGCCCTTGAGCACAGGTTCCTGTGACCCCAAACAATTGATGCTTTCTCTTGATTGATAATATCCCTCATATTTTCATTTACCTTTTTAATACTCCTCAATGTACAAATACCAAAAAATAATTTCTTCCATACTCATATCGAAAATGTCAGCTGAAGAACATGGATATAAAACCTACACCCACCCCGCCATATGCTTTTACTGACTCTTCTTTTGTTTACTTCTTCTCAATTGGTTGCTATTCATTTCAAGTGGATAGTTTAAAGAAAAAAGGATCTTAAATAATTATTAGACCCTCTCTAAGAAGTAAATAGCACCCCACAATAATCAGGACACTGTTCGTCTTTCAAGAACTACCTGACAGCATTGAATTTTATCGCTT